CTCCAAGGATCGTTGCGCCGCCGCCGCCGACACTTCCAGCATTAGCGTTAGCGTTAGAGCTCGCACCGGATGAACCTCCGGTATGTCCACCAAAAACGTTTCCACCGCCGTTTCCGAATCCATTGCTATCTTGACCGCCATATCCTCCATGTCCTAATCCAGGACCCGATCCTTTGTTGGCATTTCCATATCCACCAAGAACATTATCGGAACTTCCAGCATTAGCATTGGCGTTAGCGTTGGCACCGGAAGAACCGCCGCCATGTCCACCGAGATTCAGCCCGGAAGAGCCATCATGTACGAATCCACCGCTGCCTTGACCACCAACGGAGCCTCCACCGTATCCTCCGTGACCCCCGGATCCTCCAAGGATCGTTGTACCGCCGATGCTTCCAGCACCGGATGAACTTCCGCCGTGTCCTCCGAAACCCGGACCAGAGACTCCACCTGATCCGTGACCTTCGTAATCACCAAGAACCGTAGATCCACCATTATAACCACCTGATCCGGATATCGGGCCTTCTTTGATCGGCCCGACGAATCCGCCTCCGACACCGCCGGCAGCAGCATTAGCGCCGGCGTTGGCTCCCGCCGATCCGTGTGAGCCTCCTGTTCCGGGAAATTGTCCTGGGTATGTAGTAGGAATACCTTTGGGTTTTTCACCCAAAATAGTAACAGTGACATCTGGATTTGCCGGTTGATAATTTCCCGGTTGATAGTTTCCTGGTTGATTTGCTCCTCCTACAAAAAAAGAATTTTGCTATTGCAGCGAAATCGTCATTTGCATATTAGATGTGATAGCGAAAAAATTTTGCAACTAATTTTTCAAATTATTCAGTATATCAGCACAGTCTATTATGTTGGTAGAATAGATAAAGTTGACTATATTTGTTTGTAAAAACATATTAATTTGTTGCTGCAACAAAATAATTTATTTCTAACACAGCAAAATTGTCGCTGCCACACAATACAAATTTTTATGTATTTTCTTTGAATAAAAATCAATTTATAATAGTGATATAATTTACAGACTTAGCAATATTATTTGCAATAATAAAATAAGCATCTGTAACGAATTTCTTTGCTGGCTAGCTAACATGTTTCACTGCGACAGCGTGAAATTTGCTGTGTCAATAAATTCTTTTTTTTTATATACATTACCGTGGGACACGCCGCCGTTAAAGAATGGATTATTTGCACCAATTGGGGCCTGTCCGGCGGCATCAGCATTTGCGTTGGCATTGGCATTAGCGTTAGCGTTGCCGCCAGCACCAGAGTGGCCACCGTTCAAGAAGGGATTGTTTTCGCCAATTGGTCCTGATGGATAGTTGCCACCTTGTTGATATCCTCCATGATTGCCTCCATGATGTCCTTCTAGGACACCTCCATGATTGCCTCCATGGTGTCCTCCATTACTTCCTCCTGCATTTGCCTGAGCGTTGGCATTTGCGTTAGCGTTTGATCCTACGCCTGATAAGAACGGATTGTGACTGTAGTCACCAGGAGATCCTTGTTTCTGCCCATGATAAGGTCCTTGAACGCCACCATTTCCATAACTATCGGCTGTAAAAAGGAAATAAATATTAGCTTTCGTCTTTTATATTTATATTTATATTTATAAAGTTAATAATATCATACAAAATATGATGTAACATAAAGATAAAATGATACATATACATGAAAATTAGATAACGAAAGTCACGAAGTTCATGCTCTCAGTCTCAGTCATGCATAACGTCAGATTCTGGATTCTTCGTTTACGTCTTTTCTGTTTAGGTGCCAGTTACAACGAGAAAAAACAGTAAAAATGCATTATCTGTAGGGTTCTCATTTCCTGCTGTAACAATGTACTATTTAAAAGTACTACTTGCAAAAGACAATGCAAAACAAGGATTTCAACCTTCAAATTGACTGTGAAATGAATTCAGGAAATGCCTTCCGATTCACATATCCTTGGAACCTAAAATTCATGCAGAATGTTTTAATCAGAAATAAAACAAACAAAAAGTAATAAACTAGTAACATAAATTACACAAATTAATTATAAAAAAGCTGTTCACAAAAGTTTAGAAGATTTGTGTGACTCTTGACAGAGTCAGCTGATATTCACACGATAATTATTAACGACGTTTGCACAAGACACGCTACACACAGAGTGACGGAAAGTCAATTAGACATAATTATGAAGTGGCTGTCTTCGTCCTTCGTATAAAGAATTGCATAAAGACAGTGTAAGAAATTTGCGATCCTGCTACCAATTAGTACACGGTCCCAACGAGTCGATAATCACACGATGATTTTTGATACTCGATCATGAAGTATCACCTTGACTAGGCGCTGTCTCCTCGATGACGATGATCTCGATAGGCTGTTGTTTCGGTTTACCACCGTGGTGCGGGCGGTGACGATGTGGGGGAGTTGGACGGTAATACTGCGGCGGGTATTGCGGCGGGTATTGCGCCGTGGGTGAACTCTCAACAACGACAATTGGTATCACAGCTTCGCCTTTACCGATTCCTTGATGGAAGGTGGGAGGCCGTTGGGGCGTCGGATGGACGGGTTGATCGGGAGAAATCGGCAGTGAGTCAATGGGAATGATCTCTATTCCACTGCTGGGATATTTGCCGGGAATCGTGTGCACGCCGCCGCTACTTATACCACTTATCTGAGCGTTGGCATTAGCGTTAGCGTTAGCGTTTGGTTTCTTCACATTTGACAAAAAGGGATTGTTAGAAAAGACAACATTAATATTGTCGATAGTTTTGGGTCTAGTAGAAACCGGATAATAAGAACTGGGGGAAGGACCGACTGGCGTTCCGCCATTGCCACCACTGGTGATGGCATTGGCATTTGCATTGGCGTTAGCGTTAGCATTAGACTGAGAGCCACCGTAACTTCCGTAACCCGGTTGATTAACTTGAACAGGGACCTGGCTCACGCCGCGATGATAATAGCCATCGTTCACGTTATTACCACTCAAATAACTCTCAGGGGTTCCTGAAGAACCGCCGTAACCTACGTTCAAAGCGCATCGCTCATTAATGTGTTAATAATAATAAAAATATAATAATAATAATAAAATAAAAAATTTTAATGTGTCAAATATCATTAATGGACACTAAGATATCAAACAAAAAATAATTAAATAATAAAATAATTCTAGAAAATAGGGAAATAAAGATTTAGGAAATAGCACGTGTAGTAAAAAAAAAATCTGCGGATTATCATCCAAATATTTTTTTCTGAGAATTTATAATATTTTGGAATATTTTATATAAAAGCGCAAAATATTTCAAATACGCTTGAGATATTTGTGATAATTTCTTCCCATACAGCCGCAAATTTCTGTTGTGTATTATTTTAACCAACATATCCTATTCAATCAGGCACTTAAAAAATTCAAAATTTATATTGATTTATAAAGTTACATAAATTTTTTATTTACGTATATCAGAACCTACCTTGTGCGTTAGCATTGGCAGCAGCTTGCGCATTAGCATTAGCGCCACCATATCCATTAGCTTGAGCATCTGCTTTCGCCGAAGCTGAAGCCAAACCGTTGCCGTGCGCTGACGCCGATGATGAAGCCGACGCCGAGGAAAATCCACCGCCGATACCAACAGGTCCGAAATTCAAACCTCCTCCTATCGATTGAGCATTGCTGCTAGCGTGACTGTTTGCATCTGCATTTCCACCTTTAGGTTTGAAAATTCCTAACGGATCCAGGAAACTGCCGACATTGCCCCCAATCAAGTCACGTATCACACCTTCGCACAACACATAAGATGTCGTAAGATTTTTAAACATACAACAACATTATACCTACACAAATTCTGTTCTACATTGTTTTATCCATGAACTATTTGATTGAAATTCATTATTTAATGAAGTCATTAAAAATATGTATATAAAGAAATCATTGGTTTAATCGACTTTTCAAATTTCGTAAGCAGAAATTATCGTGGTATAATTTTTGAAACGAAATATTATGTTATCATTATACAAATATTCAAAAAAAGTTTGGCAATAAGCACTTAGATCGTTGTAAAATACAGAGAAAAAAAACTATTTTTTAATCGAGAACTTACCAGGTCTTGCAGAAGAATCCTTAATCAACAGCAACACCACCACCGGCAACAAACACTTAAACAACCTCATGATAATTCCACTTTGCGATTATTTGCTTATAAAACACAGTGTTCTTGTTTTGCTTATTTCATAGATATCTCAATGGTCAGAGAGTCAAGAGCGACTGAAGCTCTCGCACGAAGACAACATCTTATATACGATACACGCGTGGATTTTACGTCGGATAGTAATTGACTCTCTCTCTCTCTCTGTCTTGTCCCCTCGTGTTTCTCTTGTCTCTGTTATGTCCTCCGATATCACCGTCTCTGCGTTCCGTTTAGGATTCCCTGTTAGTTAGGCTCTTTCGTGACATCAATGTCGACTCTGAAATTTTATTTTGGAAATAGTACGCTCCTTTATGCATTCAAAATTATAATAAAACTTCAACCTTAGATAATTCCGTTAGATAATCGATGATTTTCAGAAAAATAGCGATAAGTAAAACTAGTTGAAGACAATAGTTTTGCAGTTTGATTGTCGCGCATGGCTATTAGAATCCGTCTATTTTGCTTTGTACTTTTCGATTCTGGGAGATTCCTTTCCGTTTATTAAAGCATTATTAGTAATTATTAGTAATTTAGTAATCATTGTGTATCCATACGGAATTTCTGGTCAATTTGCGATAAAAATTATTTACAAGTGCAACCCAGTAAAAAGTAATATATTTTTATAAATTATTCCATATTTGAGGCAAAAATTGAAAAAAAAATATAAAATATTATTCTCGGTTCTTTTGTGTAAATTTAATAAATTCAATACAAAAAAATATGAATTCTTAACTAGTCGTAGTGATGTGACAAAGTCGGAATGCAATTTGCAATTTAAAAGTTAACATAAGACATCTCACATACATGTCCAATGTCCCTGATTTTGTCCTTTTTTTAGCTGATGACTGCAATTTTTACTGATGTAAAATTATGTAAGCATTAATAAATGTAAAAGATGATGTAAAAAATATAATTTATTTGTCAACTTTTTATTGCTGTATGAATCTTAAATAAAATAACAACATAATTTTTATTTTTTAGTTTGTTAATAAAAGATAAGTAAAGTATCTAATTTATAGCGCTATTTCAAGCGCTATTCTTTATTTATAGCGCTATTATTTATATTTTTCATGCTTTAGATACACATACGTATGTATGCATCTTAAAAGAAATTGTAATTATGTGCGTGCAATTTTTTACACGCAGAGTAATTGGCATACAATTATGATAAACTTGGCCATGCTAGGCGTTTCCGTTTTACATTTCGATGTCTGCTAAATGCACGTTTAAATTACATTTGATAATCTCTATTACAGTAACTATGCGAGACACGAACGTAGAAAATCAAATTAGTATGCAGGGAAAAACCAATGGAACGCATGGCAATAACAGATTGGCAACGTGAATCAACAAGAAAAGTAAAAATTACACCGGCAGTCCTCGAAATACTCTCTCTTATGCTGTGACGTACGAATCCCGATGGCTACTGATCAGAATCTATATCAGGTCAAGGAAAGGTCCGATTATGGAATAACATATAAAATAAAAAAAGAGTATAAATTCTGTTACAATTTTGTATTTACATTAATCTGCTTTCTATAGTAAAATTTTTAAATTAAAATTTGTTCAAACTGATTTATGAAACAATTTTATCCAACTTAAAAAAGATTTTCAATAATTTAAACATTGCTGTAAATATTAATACAAAAGATAGTTATATATGTGTATGTATATTTTTAAAAAGTTGACGTACTCTAAACATACCAAACATATGATACGCTAGAAAAATATGATACTTAAAATTATTGTACAGAAAAAAGAACTTTTCTCTGACTTAAACAGATTAATATTAAATTTATACATATAATTCTTATTTTATTACGTACACTTATTATCGTTTATAATAATTAATACCAATTTTATTACAAATTAATTATATTGGTAGTCAATCTATAGCAATAGTAGATTTTACTGTAGATTTCACTAGCAAGGCTATTTCGTTGATACCTTCTTCAAGTTTCTTGAGAAACCTGTATCGTTCCGGTTTGTCAAGGTCAGGTTCAATGCCTGGCCTCTAGCTATCGATAAATTAACAATTATTTTTGTATGCGCAGGAGTCTGGTAACATCGAAAAACGAAAAACTCGTAAAAGTCGTAAATTACAACATCAATCATAAGATTTGACTACATTTAATTACACTTGCATTTATTGGTAAGTCTGAACAAATATATTCAAATTTTATGTGTCAAAATTATGTATAATTATAATGTTTTATGTTACAAAATAGAGAATGTAATTAAAGATTTAAAATTATTACATTTCTTAAATAATATAATTAATATTTTCTTTTTTTTCTTCCTTTTTTGAGAGAAAATATATTATACTATGTTATATAAATATTTTATTATCTTTTGTAGTAAAATTTTAATCATTTCTAAGAAAAAATAATTAAAACAATAGAAAGTTTTTTAACGTATTATTATTTATCATTAATTAATATATACGTAATTACATACTTAGCTATACATTTTTTGCAAGAAATGTGGAATTTCTTAATAAGAATTTAGACTTGTTACTTAGAATTAATTGAATTTAGTCAAAAACCCAAGTTCTCAGTTTTGTTCCAAGCATATTCACGCAAGCATCCGGAAAATAAACAATTATCTTTGATGATAATACAGTCGACCTTGTTGCTAATCATAAACACGCAGAGATATTCACATGTACGATAGATGTCCGATTTCCACTGCGATAGTTCGTTATTTCCGTCTGCGTCATCATCATAAACATGAACGAGCTATTAAACTCTTGACCGAGTTTATCACCAGCTAATGATTTTCTTAATATTAATTTAAAAATTGTGAAATAATATCGATTAATTTATGGGATACTCCCATTGCATATTAATAATCAGGGGAATCCCCATGAGATGGCCAAGGCAAACTAGTATCACGAAGTGATTTTAAAATCATTTATTTATCTGCTGACATCATTAATACACAAAAATACTATTATCTATTTTATTATATCAATAATTACAAATTAAATGTTTGTGCATTTATTAAAAAGATGAACATCTCGATAAATTTAAATTTTTTTATATTAGCTTGTCGCTGTTTGGCGACATAATTGGCGCATAATTTTTATGGTATTAACCTTTCGAACAAAAAATATTTTTGAGTGGATCCATGATGACAATTATTTGCAATAGAAATGATATTAAAAATCTCTTAACAAATTGAGTTTTAAAGTATTCTTAAAAATACTATCTAAACACAAAAATTGGTAAGTGATACACAATAAAAGGAGCATGATTTGTGCACGAAACGAGTGAATCAGATTTAATAGAATCAAAGCACAATGTCTATTTACAAGAATCATATGGTGAATGTAAATGCAAAACCCACGGGAAACCTTCGAACGTTTCAAATGACTCACCTCTTACCGTGTAACTCATTGTTAGCCAAGTGACAAAATTTCGTGTCGACCAGGAAAACCCAACTGTTTAATTTACGTGCTTCAACTACAGTAGGTATATTATTGGTATGATATTCTCACTGTACTTACATGACAGTGACGTAACTCATGCGTGTGAACGCCGTATATATGCGGGGAATGAAGGATTAATCATTCATTGTCTAGAATTAGATAATTATTAGAGTGTCATTCGCGTTTACAAATTTTATTTACAAATTGCATTTACAATCTACAAGTATGTAGTACATTGTAGTATAATTAGCAAAGTATTCATTAAATTACATAAGATTATCTAAGTCATTATTATAAATTATTGTTGAAACGTTATATAATTTCTTATTATATAAATTTGCTGAAAATTTTAAAATAGTTCATTTTTGCGATATATTTAAAAATATGTTTAAACAATCGATTTGTGTTGTTTGCATGCATTTGCTTCAATTATTACTATCAAGTGTATGATCGAGAATGCAATTCCAACAATGATTATGTGTGTGCAACTACGATGCAATTTTGTAGAACGTATTTCTTTAATATTCAAAGTATCTAGAAATGCATGCTCAATATATCTTACTGTATTAACTATCAGTATTAACATTTTGTTATGATTTTAATACTCACGCAACACACTGGCACATAAAATCACCGTCCATTGCGCGCAATGTGGTCGAAGCCAATCTTCACTTTTTGATATTATTATTTATTACTTCCTCGTTGTCTTCATTTTACGTTCTCAGCGATGATGTTACATCACGAAAGTAGCTCGCGTAATGCTTATTTGATAATTTATCCGATATCTCTTTGTTATTATCACTGTAATACATATATTGTACGTTTTATAATCGTTTGATTGATGCATCTAACGTTGATTAATGGAAATGCTGAAAATTAAAATTAAATGCTAAATTAATAATAAAAAATTTGATACTAATCTAATGATAACAATTTTATTTATAAAATAATATTTTTCAAATAATAAATAAAAGATACGAATTAATTAAAATCGTTTAAATTTCTCTCAGTGAACACTTGGAAAATAGAGAATATTTTGTAAAGACGGATGTACATTATATTTCTCCGAAGAATCTCTAAAACGCGTCAAAAAAACATTTTAAAAGATATATTTAACATACGATTCACACGATTATGACGAAGAATCGCCACAAGATAATATCTGTATTTTCCGATCGACTCGTTATCGATGTATTTTATATGGAATTGTATAAAGAATATAACTGTTTGTACAAATAAAGAATTATTAAACGCCACTATGTGATAATATATCGATTTATCAATTTGTAACAAATCCTTGATAATGTATGATTTAAACTAAATAAATATGATTTGGAAAACCTAAAATTCAAAAAGTGAAAAAATATATAAATACATTACATAATATTTTGAAGCGTAAGTAGGGGAAGGTGGGGTAAGACGGACCGCGGGGTAAAATGGTCCATTTGCTAGATCTTATTAGTAAGTACCTCTATCTGCTGGATAAACATAAAATTAATTTCTTTTTTGATGCTTTTTAACTGTTTAAAAATTACGTCATTATATCATAAGACTATCGTAAGTTATTTATAAAGAAACGTCAAATTCTTGCAAATAGATCTCGTGATCTAATTTCTTAGTATTACATTTTAAGTGACTAAGATTGCAAAACTTAATATTTTTAAATTTTTCTACAAGTTCCATATTTCTGGTTATTGAGAAGTAATATTTCATCAGTTACATTTAAAAAATAATTTTGATACAGGTAAATAAAAATAAGATAATATTAATGTTGTTATGTGGGGTAAAATGAACCAATTTAAATGGGGTAAAACGGACCAATTTATATATTTGAAAAAGCGGACCACAGTGCTATCGATGATGATAAGAAGATAGATAATAACACTTTAATGGATATTGCATCGCGATTAAACACTCGACAACAACAATTAGTATACATCGTAATTTCTTTTACAAATATAATAAATAAAGTAAGCTTTAATTATTTTTTCAAACATTTTATTTCATAGATTTCATTATATTTCATAGAGCAAGTACATGGGTGATCGTGTCATCAAAAAACTTGGTCTTGATTTAAATAATTATATAAAGTACTTTCACAATGATAAACAAAGTTTTTGAAGAAGTAACAAGCTTCAGATTATCGCTTAATTAAATTCAATGTGTAATTGTACAATATAATCATTAATTCAAGAGTTATACAAAAATACACAAAAGATTAAATTTTTAACTTACGGCACATCAACTAATATTGTAACTATTTTTCGCAAATAGAGTATATAAAAGGAGTATATATCTCTCTCTCAAACTAAACTATGTAAATCCTGTGAATATTGATATAATGAAAAAGTTAAAAAATCATACACCCATCCACCTCTTACATAGAAATGCTTTTATACACTGTAATAATGATTATTGTCATTGTTTTTCATTTCAAAATATAAGATCTCCTCTTCTTCTACGTAAAGCGTTTCTAGCTGCCATTCAAAAATAGTAATCTAATATGTATATGTCAAATATACAGATAACCGCTACGTTAGCGTAATCGCAACCCTTGATTAATGCATTGCGAAAAATTGACTTCTCCATTTGCGTCTATCGGCACATTTATACAGATAATAGCTCTATAACAGTAACACAATAGTATTCATACATTATATGAAGAAATCGTGCAATTGCACTCAAAATTGGCTTCATTTCTTAATTATTTATAGCAGAGATAGGAATTAGTTGCAACTTTCGGCTCGATTTTCTGATTGACGCCTACTGTTCCCTTCTTGTCACTCGTATGCTAGCAACGAGTCACCAAACGCGCTAACAACGCCCATCTTAGTTAAGAAGGTGCGTGATACTCATTGTCAGCCTCAGGAATGTCCATATCACAAATGCAACAAGATAATAAATATGGGACGATAGATATTCACATCACCCGTGAGGTACTATTTTTGACGCGTTTTTCAACAATAGTACCTCACAGGTGATGTAGAAATCTATATTTATCTCATATTTATTATCTTGTTGCATTTGTGGTATGAACATTCCTGAGGCTGAATATCGCGCACCTTAGTTACGCGCGTTGTTAGCGCGTTTGACTAGTTACTAGCATGCGAGCGGCAAGGAAAGGGCAGGAGACGTGAATCAGAAAATCGAGCCGAAAGTTGCAACTAATTCCCATCTCTGATTTATAGAACAACATATACATTCAATTCTACGTATTGTAGAGTGGACGATATTATGAAGATATATCATAATAGTAGAAGATATATCATAATAGTATTCCGTCCCTTACATCAATGCCCATTCTTTCATCATCGACGTGTAAAAATTAACCATTGTCAAAATTATCAAATTATATCTAAACAGAAAAAAAATAATCAAAAAATAAGTATAACTTTTTTTAAACATTTTTTAAACATTTTTTTAAACATTTTTTTAAACATAACTTTAGTTTTTTTTTTTTTGTAAATTAAAAATTACTAAAAGTATGGAATTGTGATATTGTTTATAAAATAATATATAAAATGCATTATGACATATTATATTATGTAATATTTTTCAAAAGTTTCTCTCGCACAGTAGATATTTGAAAAGTAGAACTTATTTTCAAGATAGATACATATTTGTAATATGTCTCTGAAAAATCTTTAAAATTCTTTAGGAGGATATTTAGAAAGATATGTTTAACGTATGATTCATACGATTCTTGTTATAAAGAATTTCCACAAGATAACATCTATATTTCTCAATCGACTTGTTATCCGTGTATTTTATGTGCTGTTGTACAAAGAACTAATTATTGGTTGCTCAATTAAGTAGGGAAATAACAGGCGCCGTTATGTCATAATATATTGATTTATCAAAATAAAAAATTTTCAATTATATACTATTTAAATTAAATAAATAAAATTTTTGAAATAAATTTAAAATTAGTTTCAAATGGTTCAATGGAAACATATGGAAATATTCAATAAAATTCTCTTATAAACTTAATTTTTATAACACTAAAGCGTGAATACTACTTCTTTCGATGTATTTTGCTGTTTTATTGCACAAAAATGCCTTATATTCGAACAAATTGACCCAAGATTTTATTTTCGAGATAGTTACTCTTTTGTTTATTTGTAAGACAAATCTTGTATCAAAAGACAAAAGAGTTATTATTATTTTGTCAGATATATTCTATAATATAAACAGCAAAACATTTAAAAATTATTAAAAAAATTTTATATGTAATTACGATTCAAAAATTGCTATTTTGTACTCTATTAAATAAAGAACTATATAAGAAATTTTATTAAACCCGAAAATCAAACAGTATTTTATTACTTTTTATTAATCTGATATGCAATTTGGAAATTTTTGTCGTTTTTATATATTTGAACCATAACTGTATATAAACTAATAATAAAATATATTTTTAAAAAATTTGCAGATATCAATAATAGAGACAAATGCAAAACAGTAAAATAAAATATAAATTAACGAAGCGATGAGACAAGCTCTTCATTGTCACGATCCTTAACTCTAAATTAAATTATGAAAAGAAACCACTTGTACGTATCAATCACAGTTAATCTCAGTGTGTAGGTTTGCTTTCGTTCTTTACACACACTCAACACTCCAACTTTGCATAAATTTGTGGTTACTTATTATTTACTTATCATTTACGGCAATGGCGATTGCACCGCTGTTTCTGACGTTTTGTGACAAGATTCCTCATCAATACTTTCGTTCTCTTTATTCTCCATCTCGGTTTTATGAGCGACAGCGTAATTTTTCAAATATTCTACCACCTGCACATGCCCGAATGTCTCGGCTTCGTCGACTGGTCGTTTGCCCCATCTAAAAATATAATATATATGTTTTTATAGCGAAATTATATCTCTCTTCTCTCTATCTCTCTCTTCTCTTTACATAGATCTAAGAAACAGAAACACAATTTTTATTTTATTAAATGTATTGATTGTGAGATGACAAATTAAAAAAATATTTAAATATATACATTGTTACAACACAAATTAAATCGTTATAACACATTTGAATTTGATCTTGCGACACTCACCTGTCCTTGGGATGATGTGGGACTCCGCATTGTTCGATCAGAAACTCGACGCAATCCAAATGGCCTTCGCTGGCGGCCAAGTGCAGTGCAGTTCTACCGTCGTAGTCTGACAGAGTCATATCCATTCCACTCAGTCGGTGTCTAAAATATGAGAATTAAATAATAATTATAATTAATAAAATACAAATTAATATTCTGTAATATACTCGTAAATTTCGAATGTAACATCATTAATAAATATTTGTTATCTTGAAGAATGTCTTGCTATTCTCTTCGAACCAATCATAATTTTTTTGCACAAAACTATCTTTTATTATAAAATATTTTATCGCGATTTTAATTCAAAGACTATGGGCGGTATTCATAGTCCGTTCTTATATTCAAAATCGTCTTAAGCACGGACTTATATTCGCTCTCTTCGTCAGACACAATCTATGTGTGACGAAGAGAGCGAATATAAGTCCGTGCTTA